CCGCTGCCAGGGCAGCCTCTCCGGATGCTGCCCCTGCGAGTCACTTCCCTCGCTCAGCCCCAGCCCTCCGACCCTGCCGGGAGAGCCGTCGCCTTCCTCCCGCCGGCAGACGCCAGCCAGAGCCCTCGGGATGCTGCTGCTCCCGCTCCTGGCCCTGGCTGCAGCCTCGTCCCGTAGGTTCCCACCTCGCACAGCGCCGCGGCACGAGGCACCCCGTCTGTACGAGTGGGAAGGAAGAGCCGGCTGAGAGTCTTTGTTCTGTTCTCTCTCCTTCTTCCTAGATGCACAAGTGCTTCTCAGACAGTATCCAGCATCCGTTACCAGGAGGCAGACCAAGACGGTATGGATTGACTGCAGAGTCGAGGGTGTGTCTGACTTTCAGTCAGCCTATATCCACTGGTACCGGCATCTACCCTCCAAAGGTCCCGAACGGATTCTGTATATCGGATCAGGTGCTGCTGTCTACGATGACAATTCCTATAGGAGCAAGTACGGTGCTTCGAAGGAAGGCACCAACCTCTGCACTTTACAAGTCGATGACATCAGCTCCAGGGATGAAGGAACCTACTACTGTGCCTTCTGGCAGTCCCACAGAGCTCCCAGAGCACCCGCAGCCTGCACAGGAAGCTGCCGGTACCCTGAGCGCCGGCTTTCTGTCCAACGCCGAGAGCCGCCGTCGCCCCTTCCTGCCTCGAAACATCCCGAGGGGTCTGTGCTGAGCGTGTCAGGAGAAACAACGGGCAGAGGGAACCGCACAGAAATGCAGCGGGCCACATCTCAGCTGGTAAAACGCGCCGGGCTGGGGAAAAGAAGCATTCCGGTGGGTGATGGCAGTGAGAGCTGGATTATACACTAACACAGACCGGCTCTGCTGAATACAGACCCTTTCCCACCTACAGCCCGAGCTGGCCAAAGTGAAGCAGAAGGCAGGGAGGGAGCACAGGAGGAGGGCGTTTGCACTGCACTGAGGACTGCTCATAACACCAATACCCCTTAGGGACCCTCCTTACACACAAAGATCTGATACCCTCCTGCAGCTCCTGAAAGATGCCCCGAGAAGGGGCTGGGAAGGCCGTTTCCAAGAGAAAGCTGCAGATCCGAGCAAGGAATATGCGGAAACGGTGACAACAGCACTGCTCAGCCAGGCAGCTGGGAGCAGAGACAGTGAAAGTTCACTTACGGGGCGGTGGTACTCAGAATCCCACGTCCGTGTGAGAGTGTTTCATGCAACTTGAGTGCATCATGTCCTCTCTTCAGTGGCAGCCCATTCCCCACCTAACGATCCTCAATTCCTACAGCCCCAGTAGCCCCATATCCATGTCCACCACACGGACAACAGAACAATGGGAATGTCCTGTACGAGTTGTGGGATGAGATTTAGCTCTGTACGTGGCTACTGACAAAGACCCACAAAAGCCCCAGAGTGGAATCGCTCTTTTGGGTCAGGAAAGGAGAAATCTTTCTCAGGGAAGGGCGTCCTGTGTGGTGACCTGAGGGCCCATCTGCCATGAAGTCTTTGCAGGGCATCTTTCCATGGTTTTTTTACCTGGAAGAGATGGAGAGGTCTGACCAGCCAGTTTGGAGATGCTGCAAGTATGAGTAAGAGAGGGTTGGCTCTGAACCTTCCCACCTGTGCTCCCAAAGCAGGCAGTATGTTCCAGGAAGGGATAGCGAAGCAGGCTCCTGGGATAGCTTTGGGTGTCTGAGGAGAGGATAACGTCCTTGGGAAGGGCCGGGTTGGACAGCTTGAGTTTCCATCTCTGAGCAAAGCCGGTGAGCCTGAGAGGAAGGTAGCAGATAGTTGAATGAGGAGAAATTCTTTCACACGGAGTGTTCCAGGCCCTCTCTACGCTGTTACTGCTGTGGTTCAGCTTGTCAGTAAATTCAACACCCTCAGCAGCTGCGAGTTGAAGAACACCCATTGGGTGAGCCAAACGAGTCACTTCCTCCTCCCGTTGTTTGACCCTTTCTCCACCTGAAGGGCTTTGTACCGTTTCTGTTTCTGCGTCTCTCATGGCCAGACTCAGCCCACACGGGCAGCATGTTGCTCTTCCCAGTCCTTCTTGCAGCTTCTTTTTGGCCCCGTAAGCCCTTTCCCCTCCCCTCTCTCCTGCCGGTGTGCAGGGAGCACAGTCCTGGCTCTGACCTCCAGCGGGTCCTTCCCCTCACGCAGCTTCTCCCCTTCCCCTCGCAGGTGGAGCCGCGCAGGCGGTGCCGGTGCAAACCCCGGAGCTGCGGAGGCAGCTCGTGGGCAGCTCTGCCAGCATGGCGTGCAGCATGAGCACCGCAGCCGTCGTGCACTGGTACAAGCAGCTTCCCGGAGATCCGCTGAAGAGGATACTGCACACGTCGGGACAGTCACCTGTGTTTGATGACAGCAACGACAGAAGGAGATTTCAGGTTCGGAAACATCCTTCTGAGCTCATCTACGGTCTCACGATAGATTATTTAACCCCGAGGGATTCTGGCACTTACTACTGCGCATACTGGCCTACCCGGGTATCACGGTGCTAGGCAGGCAAGGACAAGCTGTACACAAAGGCACTTTGCACTCCGAACCGCAAGCTCTGAACCCTTCCAGTAATTCACACACTTCTCTATTCCAGCCCTCTCTCATGATTTGCTGCAGCAGGAAATAAAACCAACAATTTATGGTGACAGCTGTTAAAGAGATGATGTTACCAATCCCCGTACCACCTGGGGACTCACCCGTATCTGTAACATCCAGAAACTGAAGAGTCCCAGTCGCTTTAGGGTCGGGATAGGGAGCTTGGCTCTTAAGTTGAAGGCTTCATTGTAGTGAAACCACTCACCTGGCAGCAAACGCAGCCCGTCAGCTCTAAATCGCTCTTCTCCATTGGAAGTTTTGGAGCAAGCAGAGTAACGTATCTCAAACCTCTCAGTGAGTTCTCTTGGAAAAAAAAGTCA